CCCCAAAACCCCAAAACCCCAAAACCCCAAAACCCCAAAACCCCGAGATAATGATATTTATTTGAAAAGGCAATAACATTTTAATTAAATATGAACACGGCAACCTTTTTCATACTGATTGCTACTCATTTTTTGGGTGCGATCAACTACATGATTCTTCTTCCATTTATTCCAATTGAATTCAAGAGGTTTGACCTAAGTCCATCAACCTATGGATACATCTACGCCATGTTCGCCTTTACCAATCTGCTGGTTACTTTTATTGTGGTGAGAGTTATGGATCACTTCGGCAGAAAGAACACTTTGTTGGGTAAGCCTGAGCACTAAGGTATAGGAGGAGTTGCCTGAATGACAGTCTGAATGGCTTTACTTGTTATGACAAGCTACTTTCAAAGCAGCGAGATCTTGGTTCCAGTGTTGTTTGCTGTGAGGGGGCTTCAAGGTGCAGCAACTTGTTTGATAGATACTTCAGTTTATGCAATCATCTGAGTATCATTCACCAAAAACAGGATCAGATATTTGGGCCTCAGCCAATCGTCAAAAGGAGCTGGATCAACATCAGGGCCTATAATCGGAACCCTCATGTATTCGCTAGGTATTTCTTTTGCATTGACTCTAGAATCCTGTTCTTGAAATCCAATTTGCTTCACCAAACCTATTTACTAATGGAATATCATTGCTCGTAATTATGTTAGAGTACTCTTAGATCTTAGCTTCTAAATTAGGGTTCATTCTACTTTAAATAGCAAACCTAAGTAAACATCCTTGTTGTTGATATTTTGATGGTGAATTTTAATCTCTAATATTCTAGAAAACCAAATGTATTTTTCTGAAATTTCTAAATATAAAAGCTATTCTGTTACAAGATGAAATCCTAATCGAGCACAATTATGGCATCAATTTGGTGATAAGACTTCTTATATTCATCATCACTATGTTTACAAGTTTCTAGAAAATTGAAGCTTTTGATTAAATCATAACCTTGCCACTATTTTTCCAGATATTTCTTGACCATTCATTTATAGTTGGATTTCGAGGCATCTATTTTATCATGACAGGGCTTTTCATTGTTCTATTATCCCTCCTTTCCTTCAAAATATCAAAATCTGTGGACATCCGTGAAGGAGAAAACTCTTGGACTGTAAGAGATTTCTTGGTAACTAATGACGCTGAAGCACAGAAAGACAGAGGTAAGGACAAAAAACGTAATCATTTTTATAGAGCAAGCAGAAGACATATCATGCTGGAAACTACTCACAAGCAAAGTGTACTTGCTCACGACGATTTGAGTGTTCCTATGCTTCTTCAACTTCTGCTTTTATGAACCTGTTCTTTCAACGGAATTAATGGCTAAGGGACTCTCTAATTCTGAAATAGGCATCATATTTTCAATTGCTCCGATTTGTTATTTCATTATGCTGCTGATCTTCTCATTCTTTGGAGAAAAATTATGTTCAAGAAAGTTGGTAGTCGTTGGGATGGTTCTCGGTGCTATTGGAGTTTTTCTTATGGGACCAACTTCTTTCATACCAGATTGGTTTTTGTTCTCTTCAGCAGGAGCTGGAAGGTTAGTAGACTCTTCTAGAGCTTACTTTTACACAATGGGAGCAGGACATTTTATCATGGGCAGCTCGTCTGTGTTGTTCTTTCTTCCTATTTTACCAATCATTATTGAAGATGGAGTCTCAAAATATCCAAATCACCAATCCAAGATAGCTGATATTTCATCAGCAGTATTTAATTTCTCGCTAACAGCTGGTGTAGGAGTTGGTTCTATATATGGAAGCTATATCACTCAATATTTCGGATTTAGAAAATGTTGAACATCCATTGCGTTGATAACCCTCTTATACAGTTTGGTTTACCTAATCTTATGCGTAATTCCTCAGGCTCCTCCAAAACTAAACTCCTCTACTCAATCTATTAGCACGAAGGCAACAGCCAAGGATTCCCAAGAAATAACACAGCAGGTTCATTACAGACCAGAAATGGAGACTCAGAGAGAGTTTTTAAAAAGGGCATAAGTCGTTGAAAATTAATGAATTCGGAAAGTAGCCATGTTCCTTTGGGCGAGGGTAGAGTGTTGTACATGATTTAGGCATAGTTTTAGAAGTAGGTGTGGAGGGAGGATGGGTTAAGAAGGGGATCGAAGGATCCAATCTCGATGAGATATTTTTATGGTGCTTCTGAATTTTTTGGTGAAGGAATTTTATATTTTTAGTATCAATTTACCCAAACTATAAAGAGTAATATATCTACAATTTAGGTTTTCAATTCTTCTCGAAAATTCTGGGGTTTTGGGGTTTTGGGGTTTTGGGGTTTTGGGG